ACAGGAAGAAAATATAATCTAAGTTATTTCAAAGAGAAAAGGAAAACCAAAAGTAATTATCCATGATGGGGTTGATAATGTTTAATTTAAAAAACAAACAAGTGGACCAGGCTCGATGTCTCATGCCTGTAATTCTAACACTATGGGAGGCTGAGGAGAGAGGATGGCTTGAGCTCAGGAGTTCGAGACCAGCCTGAGCAAGAGCGAGACCTCATCTCTCCTAAAAATAGAAAAATTAGTCAGGTGTGGTGGCCCACTCCTATAGTCCCAACTACCTGGGAGGCAGAGGCAAGAGAATCGTTTGAACCCAAGAGTTTGAGGTTGCTGTGAGCTAGGCTGATGCCACAGCACTCTAGCCCAGGTGACAGAGTGAGACTCTATCACAAAAACAAAACAAAACAAAAAACTAAGAGATCTTTGTGACTTTGAGATAAAGATTTCATAAACTTGACACAGAAAGCATGAATCATAAAAATAAATATTGATAAATTGGACCTTTACTAAAAACCCCTAAGTAAACCGAAAGAATGAGAGATATCTGCAACACATATAGTTGACAAAGGACATATATCTAGAAAATAAAAAGAACTCACAAAACAATAAGAAGAACACAAACAATCCAACAAAAAAAAAAGATTTTGAACAGACACTTCACAAATGAAGATATATATATATATATATATATATATATATATCTCCAATAAGCACATGAGTAGATGCTAAACATAACCCATCAGAGACAGGCAAATCAACACCACAATGAGATACCACTTCACACCTACTAGGATGGCTACAATTAAAAAGACAGACAGTAACAAGGATGCGACAAAATTGTAACTCTCAAAATTGCTAGTTGGAATATAAAACGGTGCAGCCACATTGGAAAATAGTTTGGCAGTTTCTTAAAACGTCAAACATAGATTTAACATATTATCAGCAATTCCACTCCTAGGTATCTACCCAAGAAGAATGAAAATATACATCCATACAAAAACTAGTATCCAAATGTTCATTTTTCTTAACAGCCAAAAAACTGAAACAAATGTCCATCAACTGGTGAACAGATAAACAAAATATTATATATGCAGACACTGGAATACTATCTACCATGTAATAAAAAGGAACAAAGTACTGATACATGCTACAACATGAATGAACCTCAAAAACACTATGCTGGGTAAAAGAAGCCAAATGTAAAAGACTGCACACTGCATGATTCCACTTATATGAAAATGTCCAGAAAAGGCAAATCTAGAGAACGAAGAATAGATTAGTGGTTGCCTAGGGATGGGGGTATAATTGGGAAATAATTGCAAATGAACACAAGGTTTCTTTGGGGGATGATGGAAATGTCCTAAAATAAGATCGTCATGATGGTTATAAAACTTTGTAAATATACTACCAACTACTGAATTATACACTTAAAACAGGTGAATTTTATGTATGGTATGTGAGCTAAACCTCAATAAAGCTTACAAAAAGAAATAGACAACCTCATTAGTCATCACTGAAATGCAAATTAAAATCACAATGAGATACCACTACACACCCACCAGAATGGCTAATATTTAAAATACTGACAGGCCTGGCGCGGTGGCTCACGCCTGTAATCCTAGCACTCTGGGAGGCCGAAGCGGGAGGATTGCTCGAGGTCAGGAGTTCGAAATCAGCCTGAGCAAGAGCGAGACCCCATCTCTACTATAAATATAAACAAATTAATTGGACAACTAACATATATAGAGAAAAAAATTAGCCTGGCATGGTGACACATGCCTGTAGTCCCAGCTACTTGGGAGGCTGAGGCAGTAGGATTGCTTGAGCCCAGGAGTTTGAGGTTACTGTGAGCTAGGCTGATGCCACGGTACTCACTCTATCCCGGGCAACACAGTGAGACTCTGTCTCAAAAATAAAATAAAATAAAATACTGACAATACCAAGTGTTGACAAGAATATGAAGTAGAACTCTCATTTTACATTCCCACATCTGGTGGGAATGTAATAGGGTGTAGTGGGATTGAATATTGTTCCCCAAAAGGATATGTAGAAGTCCAAAACTCTGGTACCTATGAATGTGACCTTATTTGGAAAAAGGCTCCTTGCAGATGTAAGTTGAAGATCTTGAGAATCTCAAGATAAAAGGATCCTGGATTTAAGGTAGACCCAAATCTGATAACTGACATCCTTATAAGAAAAAGGAGAAATATACTGGAGACACGGAAACATAGAAAGGAAGGCCATGTGAAGATGGAAGTAGAGATTGAAGTTATGCTGCCACAAGTCAAGGAACACCAAGAGCCCCAAGCAGCTGGAAAAGACAAGGAAGGATTCGCCCCTAGGGCCTTCAAAAGAAGTGTGGCCCTGTCTGCACCTTGACTTCAGACATCTGCTCTCCAGAACTCTGAGAGGATAAATTTCTGTTATTTTAAGCCACCAAGCTTGTGGTAATTTGTAAATGGTAAAATCACTCCGAAAAATTGTTTGACAGTTTATTGTAAAGTGAAACAAAGAACTCCCATATAACTAGCAATTCCATTCCTGGGTATTACCAAATAGAAATGAAAACAGAAAGACTTATACATGAATTGTCATAGAAGCTTTTTTCACAATAGCTCAAAACCAGAAACAATTCTAATGTCCAGGAACAAGTGAATGGATAAACAAGATGTGATATATCCACACAGTGGACTACTATTCAATAATAAAAAGGAACAAACTATTGATAATCTGCAACAACATGGATAAATCACAAAAATCATTATGCTAAATCAAAAAAGACCCAAGAATATATACTGTATGCTTCCATTTACATGAAATTCTAGAAAATACAGAATCATCTATAGAGAAAACACCTCAGTGGCTAATTGGGGGCCAAGGTAGAGGGAGAGACTGACTAGGAATGAACAAAAAGAAACTTTTAGAAGGAACAGAAATGTTCTCTATGCCAATTGTTGTGATTTTGCAGGTATCTACATCTGTCAAAACTCATCAAATTCTACACTATAAATGGTTGCAAATCACTGTATATAAATTATATGTCAATAAAGTTGATTAGAAAAAGAAAATAATTCATAAGTAATTGGACATTTGATATTTAAGATGTAAAACAACTGCCTATACTTTGTTCTAATCAATAACATTTCATAACTAAACAAATTTTAAATAAACAGTGAAGAAATCCTTAAAAGTAAACAGGAAGACAACAACTTGCTCTATTAACTCAATAGGTTTCACAAGCATAAAATGGGAAAAAGCCTTGAAATTGGAGTCAGAAGACCTAGCTCTGAGTGCTAGTTCCACCTAGCAACCAAGTGGCCTTGGACAAGTCGTAACTTCTACAAGCCTGTTATCACATCTCTAAAATATAGGTGACATTAATAACTACCTCATAGGCAAAGGCTCTGGTTTCAATAGAATAAGAACTCCTTTGGAGAAGGGATTCTATCTTAGCCAAAGTTATAATCCCAATATATTACATTGGGATATATGCTCAATAAATCATCATAGAATAAATGAATTACTTTAAAATAAACCTGAAAGGTGAGAAAGGCATCATGCACAATGCCAATGGGTGCTTAATTGTTTCTTGTAGAATAATGCCGAAAGTTCTCCCTCTTTGTGCCATCTTTATAGTATATTACCCACACATGCTGATTCAAGCATGGAAACTTCAGGTCCCTTGTGAAATGCTGCTATAACGCAGGTCATTACAGAGCAGATTTTATGTTTTAAATCCTTAGGTATATTGCTTTAAGACAGACTCACTTTCTACAAAAGCAAGAACTGTGTATATATTATTTAACACTGATCCTCAATGCCAATATCTGCCTATCATGGAGCATGTGCAAAGGCCCTATGACTAACTAAAATACAGGAAAGAGGGACTTTTAAGAAGGCCCAAGCAGTTGATAGGCAGGCAGAAAGCAGAGTGTTATGCCCAGTGCGTTTGTATGGAAAGGGATCTGAGCACATGCAGGATCTTTTAGGCCATGTGAAGTTTTGTCTTTACCCTAAGACAACAGAAAGCCATGGAAGATTTTTAACAGGTGGTTGGCAGAGTAAGGCGGGAAGAAAGGGACATAATTAGGTACATGCTTAGGATTATACTCTACAGTGTGGAAAAGAGACTGGTTGTTGGGGGAAGGGAGAGAAGGTGGCAATGGAGTTAAGTTAGATTGTGGAGTGAGTATAGCCCAATAAGGAGGCTACTACAACCGTCCATTAAAAAAAATAATAGTAGCTTGGTCCAAGAGATTCCCAATATATTTAGACAAATCAATAGGACCTGAATTTCCAAATGAAGCAAAGGAAAACAATTCTTCATCTGTGAGACAAACTGTTGATACTCCATCTGTAAAATATCTATCTTGCAATCTGCTACAATAATAATATAAATATTATGAACCTGACACACAATAAATGCTAAAAAACAAAACCCCAAAAATTTGTCATTGCCATTATTATTGTCATCCCATGTAATGGCAACTACCAGAACATGAACACCAAAGGTAGAGCCTAAATAACAATGTGAAGATTCATATCCACCATCCTGAAATACATAGACTGTATCAGCAGGCCACTGAGACAGCTGTGCCAAATAAACACATCTGACCGCACAGATATTTCATCTAAGCCGATCTCAGTCCTCAGAGACCATTATTGAATAGAAAGCTGGTGTGATCACAGTCATCTGAGAGTCCGGTAAACTGAGGCACGAGGGTGGCTACAAATTTAAGCAAGGAATAAGTGCAGAAGCAAGACAAGGAAATGGTTGTCTTGATTCTCACTTTTGAGCCAATCCAACAGGAGTCGGCTTGCACCCTGAGCAGCACGAATTTATAACATACCCCTCGCCCCACGTCTCCAGGTCCCTTGCTGACAAGGCCTTGTCATCTCTTGGCTTAATACCATGCGTCTACTCGCCATGAAACCATGCCCTTCCGGTTCCTTGCCCCTAGCTCCCAGCTCACGAAGAACCCCAGGCCCCCTGGAGTCGGACATACCTTAGCTTCCCGCTCTCGTTCCTCGGCAGTCGGGGTGCGCTTCATGCTGCCACTAAAGCCGCCTTCGCCACCGCGAGCCGCGTAGTCCCTCGTCCTGGACCCCGCCTCCTGCATGTAGTTCTCTCAGCGTCCTGTTCCCGCCCGGAGCCATTCTCCTCTGCAGCCCAGAGAACTACCGCTCCCAGAATGCACCGCGGCGACGCCCGCGAGCGCTTCGGGGTTTCGAGGAGAAGAATTTCCCAGGTCCGACAGCTGGGCCAGCGTAGTCCGCTACGCAGAAAGCCGACAGGCTGAGGACCAAAGAGAACTACATTTCCCAGGAGGCAAGGGGACCCGCCATGTTTTTCCCGTGCTCCTCTCAGACAGCCTCCCAACACGCCGTCGGCGCTATAGCAACGGCTGCGGGTCGCGGAGAGAGAGTGTCTCGGTAAGTACTCTGGGGGAGGATGAGGGGTGGGGGGAGGATGGCGGACCATCCCCCTCATCACGGGCCAGGGCCAGCGTCCTAGGGTCTACTCTGCGGCCTGCATAAGGCTTCCGAGTTCTGCTCGCGTGAAAAAGCAGCCCAGCCCGAGACACTGGCACATCCCTCAGGCCTGAATCACAGCCCGCCTTTTTACCCCACGTCCAGGACCAATTTGAAATTTTATGTCCCAACCTTGAACCTTAGCTAATGAGATTTGGTGCTGCTAATTGCCGTCCCTATCCAAATCCTTCAAGTAGAAGGTCACAAGTTCACAGTTCGCTCTTTTGCCCTGGATGAGGAGTTGGTTGGTAGACCCTAAGTCTCCTGGGTGGCCTGTTCGCTTAATTACTTGTTTGCTTATTGTCTGATTACTTCTGTAATCTGTTAGCTCCATAAAGGTGGAGACTTCGCTTGCCACTTTACTCTCAGTGCCTCATTTATTCATTCAATAAGTGTTAATGTTGGTACCCACCATGTGCCAGTCACTATTCTTGACCAGCTGTGAAGAAGACCAATACCCATCTCTAGATGTTTATGTGGAGACAAACAATAATTTTATGTCATAATTTCAGATAGAGGCAATTGCTATAAAAGAAAGAAACAGTGAAGATACTGGCAGGAAGAGTAACATAGGATGATCAAGGAAAACCTCCCTGAGGAAATGATATTTGAGCTGAGTTCCAAAGAATGAGGAGCCATCTAACGCAAAGGCCTTGAGCAAGACAAGGGTATGGTGAAATTGAGGAAGCTTAGGAAGCTTAGGAACAGTGTAGGTGAAGCATAGTGAGCAAGGAGAGACAGCATGAGATGGTATTAAAGAGGTATTGCAGCACTGTGCAGGGTTTCTCAACTTCCACACTGTTAACATTTGGGGCCAGCAATTCATTGTTGTAGGTCCTATGCACTGTAGGAGGTTTAGCATCCTTGGCCTCTACCCACTAGATGCCTGAAGCACCCCGCTCCCTTCCCAACTGAGACAGCCAAATAAATCAAGAGACAACTAAATGTGTGACCTCAGGCTAGTTACCAAATCTGTGTCATGGCTTCCTCTTTTGTAAAGCAGGTGTCATTTGAGTAACAACCTCATAAGGATATTTTGGGACATTTAATTCACTCATCTAAACAGAGCACTTAGAACAGTACTTGGCACATAGTAAGCATTCAATAAATGTTAATACCACTGTCATCATCATTATTGTTATTATAAAAGCAACCTTAACTATCGTGGAAAAGTAATCATTTTCACATGTGGCCTGTGTTGAATTGGAGTCTTAAAATTGACCTTTCTGTAGCAGTATTTCTAAAAGAAGTAGATGATCTCCCAGGCATTTGTCTGTTAGCTGTTTCTGTCACAGCAAAACCCAGTGGTTCTCTACCTTGTGTGTGTTATATTTAAAGTTATGAACCTTCTCCCCAAAATATATTGTATATACGAATGAGCGTGCAAAAGTTTGTAAACCATCTCTGGGTTCACAGACCCTGAAGCCCCATTGACTCCACTGAACAACTATTTGGTAAATGCTTACTCAGTGAATGTGCCAAACTGTGTGCCAGCCTCCAAGAATACAGTGGTGAACAAGGTAAATAAGCTTGGTCTTGGTCTTCCCAGTCTGTGACCAACATCCTAGAGCTTAAGGATTTTTCTGCCTTAGAGTATATGCATTGACAAATTGCATTTGGCTTTCTAGGTAGATTGAAATGAAAATGTAAAAAATTTTTTTCATGTAGGACATAGTAGGGATCGTTCACATCCATGTACAAAATAAAGTTACCATGGTGTATCTCTGTAAAGAATAGAAACTGTAAAAATACCAGAATTACCTGGACAGCCTATGTGTTGAAGTAGTTGAACCCTCGAACCTGCGCGTTAAAGAAGGCAGTGTACAACAAAAACATACCCAGTTGGTGAATTTATGAAACCTTTTTCACAAAACTTGGAACTACCCACTCATTTGTGCATCAAGCAGAACATTAATATTCAGAACATTAACATTAATATGGACATTCCAAGCATGTGTGCTAAGTTCTTTTAATTTACCATCTCTCTTACCTTAGAATAACTCTGTGAGATAGATATTATTTTCTCCATTTTTTAAATTAAGGAACTGAAACTCAGAGAGGTTAGGTGACTTGACCAGCTGGTAAATGATACCATGTTTCCCCAAAAATAAGACAGGGTCTTATATTTATTTTTCCTCAAGAAGACACCCTAGGGCTTGTTTTCAGGGGATGTGTTATCTTTTTTAAATATGGTACAATAATCTACATTTATCCAAATATGGTTAAGTCATCTTCTGGAACATCATCATAACTCTCCAAACCCCGAATTCCATCCTGAATTTCTTGTGACTCTATTTCCTTTAGAACCATTGGCCCCAATCTCTCATGTCGAGCAATAGAACTCTCATAGGGCAGATGAAAAGGGCTGCTCGTCTTCTTTACGGCTCCAGGATGAAATGCATGAGTTGTGCAGATACACTGCTTAGCCATGCCCATCACTAGGTCTTATTTTGGGGGAAGGGTTTATATTGTACAAATGCTTAGGAATCCTGCTAGGGCTTACTTTCAGGGAAACACGGTAGAACAACCATTTGAATCAAGTTCGTGACCTAAGTTTTTTCTGAGATACCCACTTTCTTTAGGAGTTGAGGAGGGGGAAGGGATGGAGAGGGGGTATTTCTTAAATGATAATCTTACTTCATTTCCTAAGCAAACTATGGGAAATATACTGTTGACAGGAACACCATCTCCAAGATTGAATGTGGTATTACTTTTAGAATAGAGGCTTTCATCTTCTTCAGGCAGCACATGTGGACAATAAGATGTCCATTAAAGTTCTAGTTCCTTATTCATTTTACTTGGTCCATTCCATTGCATAGTTAATGTAATAACTTGGAAAGAGTTTATCTGAATTTGCTTTTTTTCACAGATAGGCCATGTCTGGTCCAACTGATGAGACTGCAGGAGACCTGCCTGTGAAAGATATAGGTCTAAACCTCTTTGCAATGGGAGGGTTACAAGGTATGACCAGCTGTTATTTATTACAGTTATGAACTTTGATCAGTGACTTCTCTACTTTTAATTTAAAGTATTTCTGATATTCATACAAACCAAACCATTTAAGTAACTATATAGCTCTTGATTGGACTAAACAAAAAGATGGAGAGTTTAGAACACATATGGTATTTTACTGCATGCATCAATTATCAACAGCTCATAGAAAATGTAAAATCCCCCTCTGTTCTGATAAAGAATTGTTATAAATCATCTTTTTAAAATTCCACACGTCAGTAGAAACTACATAGAGAATATCAAGCCTCCAAACTAAATAGCCTGGTTTAAATCACATTCACCATTAAAACATTTCTTTATGGTTAAATTTTATATGGAAGGAAATGCCATATTTAAAAATTTTTGCCTTTTAAGTAGAATACCTCAAAATATCTTATTTATGCAAGTGATAGTGACTTTTATCAAATTAATATACATTAAAGGTTTTCTTTATCTTTTTATCACTTAATGGTTGCTGTAGGGCTAAAAAGCACTTTCAAATTGAGAGAGAAAAGCACTACTTTAAAGAACAATTTAGAGTATAGAGCTATGTTTATGTTTGTACAGTGTGTCAGCCATACTCCCATGCCACTACATTTGCTATTGAGAAGGAATATTTAAAATATATTCCACTAGGGAATCTTTGTACACCTTTAATTAGAACGGTATGAGTGGCCACCTTGAAATACTTCAGAAAGGTGGTCAATATATTATTTATTGGAAAAGATAAATTGGGCTATAAAGATTTTACTGTTAAGAGTAAAAAGTATATATAAGCTTTGCTCTAAATCTTTGAGGGAGTATGAGGTATTCAAATACAAATAAATTTTAAGTGTGCAAAACTATTTTATTGGGTTTTGATAATCTGCAAGTTCAATTCTTGTCCTCATTAACCCATCATAGGACTTTAATCTCTATCAGTTTGTCCTTCGTTTCTATTGGAGAATTGTTGAAAATTGACCTACTTCACAATGTTATGGAAAATTTAAGTGTCTGTAAAAAGATATCTACACATGCTAAAGGATATAAAGGTTCTTCTTTAAAAGTATGTAAATTAGCATATAGGGAAATGATTTGTGAAGCTTTTAAATTACAATTTTTAAATTTTAGGGGTTTTTTTTGTTTTGTCTTAAAATTTTTAGTTTATTTTCTATAACCTAACACTATAGCTCAGAAAAATGTCTTAATCATGTGTTTACAGAATTAGTCTCACTTTTGCCTTTGTAAAAAAGAAAAAAGTTTCAGATACTCTGACTTTTCTGACTTTTAATTTAGTTTTCACAACATTCAGCATATAAAGTGGAAAGTCTTTATTGATAATCAGAGTTCCATCTTATATTCTTACAGAATGACTACTCGAATACATTTTTGCAGGGATACTATTGTTGCTCATTCCTAATACTGCATGTAAAGTATTAATAGCAAAGACTTTTATTCTCACCTCAAATCATTGATGTGAAAAATGCTGTAGCATTTTCTAAAGCAATCTTAATTGTAGGTCACAAAGAAAAACATCTAAGATGAAGGCATCAGAGATTATATTAAAATCAAGAGTTTTCATCTTTAGAAATTATTTTAAGTAATTCCACAATTAATTACCTTGGCATTTTTGCAGAAACTTCAACACGGACAATGAAGTCTCGCCCGGCAGTGTCACGTGTCAGTCGTGAGGAACTGGAAGACAGATTTTTGCGTTTGCATGATGAAAACGTTTTACTTAAACAGCATGCCCGCAAGCAAGAGG